AAGGCTTGATATATACAGAGCATGTAGAGGCATGATCTATGTTACTAGTGTTGAGAGAGGCCATGTCAGTCTGAAGACAGGCAGGAGGCTGAGGGGAGCTTGCACCTTGTAAATTAGCTTGAGCAGAAACTGGGATACCTCTGAGCTCTCTGGTCACCTCTGAGCTCTGCTGTGTGTATCAAACAGGGATACGCTTCTCCATGCGTGTGGTGTGATTTGCAATTTGCCCAAGGGAGTGTGAGGCAGGGTGAAGCCAGGCTGATCAAGAAAGGGAATGTATTTTACAACCATAATGGATGGAGAGGAGAGAGATGAGCCATAGGGCGATACGTGTCCTTCATCTGGCTGTGATGGTTCTGCCAGCAAGAGCGTGCATGTTTTATCTGTATGGTGGTGCATATACATATATAATGATACATATTCATATATGCACATATGTGTATGTACATGTGTACACACACACATGCCTATATATCTATGCATATACACACGTAAGCTAATATATATAATAGCAGCTGTCAACTACCTGAAGGGTAGTTATGAAGAGGATGGAGCTGGACTGATCCCACTGATGGCAGATGACAGAACAAGGAGCAATGGTCTCAAGTTACAGCAAGGGAAATTGAAGTTAGATACTAGGAAAAACTTTCTCACTAGGAGGGTAGTAAAACAGGTTCCCTGGAGAGGTGGTAGAAATTCCATCCCTAGTGGTTTTGACCCGGCTAGACAAAGTCTTGGTGGAGATGATCTAGTTGGGGCTGGTCCTGCTTTGAGCAGAAGTTGGACTACATGTGACCTCTTGAGTTCCCTTCCAACCCTCATTTTCTATGATTCTATGTGTATATTCAGTGCATATGCATATATCATGGTGCATATGCATGTGTATGCCTGTGTATGTATATAGTAATGCCTAAGCATATACTACAGTGCACCTGTATATATATTGTATATGCATTGATTATATATTTACACACACACACACCATAGCATGCACACAGGCATCCATTATATGGTGTGTGTGTGTGCATGTATGGATAATACATATATAATAAATTTGATGGATACATAATGGTGCATATGCATGTGTATATGTGTGCATATAATCAAGGCATACACATGTACATGTGTGTACTGATGCATATGCATATACTATGGTGCATAAGTATATTAGTATATACATCAATTATGCACACAGACACTGTATAACCTGATGCATATGCAAATCTATAATCAGTGCCTGGGGGGGTGTATACACACACACACACACACACACACACACACACACACACACACACAGAGAATGTACAGTGGTGCATATGTGTGTGTATATATAATTGTTGCTTATGCATGTAACACAGTACATATACATATATGGAAATTAATACCTAGGCATAAAAAAGAGAGAGATGCGTGGGTTTATACCATACTGTATATGCATATATATATAATGGATGCATAGGCATATATAGGGATGTACCACAGTGCGTATGTGTGTGTATATACATATATATTTGTGTGTGTGTATGTACAAATCGGTGCATAGGCATGTATACAGCTTGATTGTTTATGGGTGTATAATGCAGACACACAGGTGTATTCCCTGTGTATGCATTGGCACAAAATGTGTCTGCTGGCCCCTATACCAGTTGCAAATCCAGTGTGTCGCTGGCAGAGATGCTGCAAGTGCCTGCAGGGGGTATGGGAATGATACCTGTATCCCTAGCAGGGCCTTGGGGTGTGTCTGGGGCAATGAGTCTGTTTGTGATGTCATGGCATGATGTCACAAGATTCCCTCACAACGCCCCTGAAACTATGATGCCACCCAGCCTGCCATGATGTTATGGCTGCTTTATCCCTACTGTTGTATCCTACTCCTGACCCCACCTCATCCCCAGTCTAACCAGGGCATGCCTATTCTCCTGCCTCAGTTTCCCCTCTTGACTCCCTAGGCCCATGCCTGGGTGGCAGGGGAGGTGCTGACTGAGTCATTGAAGCCATTAATTTGTCATTAACGATTAACAACTTGGGCTCTGGACTCTGCCCAGCCCCACAGCCACCTCCCACAAAGCCAGGAATCACTCCAGACTGGAGCTGACCCCTTTCCCCCTTGCTTGGCACCTCCTCCCTGACCCAGCTGGATTCATCAAGCCAGGCCAAAAAATAATCCAAGGACAGTGTTTCTTTCACTGGTGAGGATTAAAAGGGGGTTTCCTTTGGAGGCATGAGCTATCATCCTTAAGAGCCTCTGATTCCTCCCCTAGTTGCCCTTCTACATGCTTCCCCTAATGAACAGACCAAAAGCTGGCTTCATTACAGTTAACACCTGGGAAGTGAAGAGTTTAGCAGGAGCAGGGTAGCTTATGAGCCATGGGATGGAGCTGCCCCCATAATGGATGGCAAAAGAAAAGCCAGTTTAATTAGAGCTGTTAACACCTGGGGAGTGAATTGTTTAGCAGGAATTGGGTAGTTTATGTTTTGGACTGAAGAGCTGAGCAGGCATGAGGTAGCTTAGTCGTGGATTGGAGATGCCCTTCTCCATGTCTCCCTTAATGGGGTGGCAGAAGAAAGGCCAGTTTATTTAGGGTCGTTAATGCCTACGGAGTGAAGAGTTAAGTAGGAATCAGGTAACTTATGAACTTTGGAGTGGAAAGGCCGGACAACTGTATCCACAGCACTGACTTGTGTTAATTGCCACCCCCTTATTTCCCTGCTGGGTTTTTGTGCCCCAATATTACCCCAGATCCTCATAAACTGTCCCTGGGCCTAGCTACTGGCTTGGTTTAACCCCTCCACAGGTTAAACCAGGACAAATCTGTAATGTGTCCAGCCCTGAAGGGGGTTAAATCCAGCCTGATTTGACGGGGGGGTTGGGTGGGGGGGAAGGAGGAGTCTTGAGACGGGAAGACAAAGGCGCCTTCGCTGGCTGCGGGGGTGCGTGAAATTAGGTGGTCACGGCGCCGTGAGCGCCGTTAATTAGCAAGGGGAAATCGGCGCCGATGCGCCTGAGGAACTCAGCATTTCATCAGGCCTTGGTCGCCCACAGCTCCCCCCTCCTGGCTCCCAAATCTATTAGGGTGATGATTGTTGGTTTAATAGGGACTTTGATCCTAGGGGGTATCCTAAGCTTGCGGGGGGGGGGGGG